CCTTTCACGTAAATTACTTCATTAAAACTTGCTTGAAAAATGCAGCGTTTATAGATTACGACTCAATGTTTGGTTGCTCCGTGTCTGCTGTTATGGTCATTTCAGATCACCGCTTCTGAATATTCGAACTAATGGGGATACACAAAACTATCTGGGTGTGAATGTTGCATGTTCAGCCGATATTCTTTTCCATCTCGCATCTTGCGAAGGAGTAAATCCTAGCAGGCTCTTCATTGTCTAAATAAAGTGGTATTCGGTGCAGTTCTCAAAGCATTTGAGACATCCACTAAACATTCGATATGGGGCCCATGATTTTACAACGCATAGATGAGACAACAGCAGGGAGGTGGTGGCATGGTGGTTCGCGCACTGTGCCTGGAACCCAACTCCCAGAGTTCGATTCCAGCCACGGCGAACATCGGTGGCGAGTGATACCTGAACCGGTCCTGGACCTCCTGCTTCACTAAGCCGATGATGTATGGTCTCGCTCCGCCGGTTCGCACGGTTGGCTACGTACGGTGCAAAAGAAGTTCTACGTACAACAATGAGTGGGGGGTGGGGCTTTGTTCACCAATAGATGGACAAAGGGATATGAATCACTTATTATTTTTAATCGGAGTCATTGGAGCTTGACGTTCATCTGAGATTTACTACCCAGCCAAAATACACAGCAGGCTGGAACGTGATGCAAGCGCAGCCGACGCGACGCTGTCAGAGCCGACCGCGCCCGTGGCTGCACGCCAGCCACTCCGGGCTGGACATGACGAGGCTGCAGCCAACAGCGACGCGTTCTGCGCCTCGTTGAGGGCGCCGCGCCACCCACTCGCCGTGTTCTGTCGCGGCACGAGCAGAGCAGAGGAGGACCGCTGTCGGAGTCGTGTCGCATCCAGGGTGGGGGTCGGGTGGGGGTTGTGCTTGTGGCCAAGTGGGGGGCGCACAAGCGGGGCCAGACAGCTGCAGCAGCAGCTGCGGAGGCGCTTTGCAGCAACTCGCCAGAGAGGCCCCGTGGCTGCGATGGGGCGCGCGCCCGGCCGAGCCTCGGAAGCCAAGTTGAGCCTGGGTAGCGGACGGGTGGGTGGCCGCCATGCATAACAGGTTATTTCTTGTAAAGCGTCTCGAGATCTAATTGCATCAGACGCGGTATACATTCTAATGCAGAGTAGTTGTAGTTGCAACACAATCCCTTTCTCGATGTGATTCATTTACATCGCGGATTTTTTTTTTCTGGCCAATCAATAAATTGACGCAATCATTGCTCAAAATTATTGTAATTAATAGCTTCTTTTTGGCCGCTTGATGTGTCTGTCCGCGTTCATGATGCTATCCCATATACGCATTAGCATAACACGCTTATTACGTTATTTGTATAATCATCACGTGATACGTTGTGTGTATCATGAGCGTGAGAATGTACGTCGCTTGATGAATGAATGCGCACCTAATCATGAGTGGGTAAACACTTCATTGAGTACTTCCACAATTGTTCTTTGATTTCCCAAGGGGCGGGGGAGGGGGGTATTTATTTGAAACGAGTGGGGAAGAATGAGCTGCTCTTTGTTCAATCGCTGTGAAATCGGCTCGCCAGCGTCTGCCCATGCACGCGCCTCGCTCCTGCCTGCCTCTTATTTGTCCCATACATTGCCACGCAATTATCCCACTGATAATTCCCGTACATGGTAGTGCTGTGACAGAGGGATTTCAAAGACTGAACATTACTACTAATTGATTTATTTTCATTTATTATTATTATTTTATTTTTATTTTTTACCTACGTGACTTTACCGAAAAAACCTAAGAGTATGAATCCTTGCAGTCACGAAAGCTTCAAATCTAGAATTACTACTATCCTGCAATTTAAGACATCAGGCGATGCTTTAAATGTGTCTACACACGTTATAGCTGTAATTGGTTATATACACACAGAGCGCGTCGCCATGAATGGATGATTGCCACGCAAGTCAAGGCGATTCGTCGCCTGATTTCGAGCGGTGAGAGAACAATATTTGTTCTATGTGAGTTGGTGAAGGGGCAGCGCTGCAATTCCTCGCTTTGCGCCGCTGCTGGCAGACAGCCTCCACTCGGGCGGGGGACACGAGAGAGCCCGAGGCGGTTGTGGCAACCTGGCGATGCAAATTATTCACGATCCCTGCCAGGTGGATGAGCGACGGGAATTTTGGAATTTCCACCTCTGGCTCCGGGCTCGACATTTTCAGATAAGCGTCGCCTCAAGAGTCAGTGGATCAAAGAAATAACCCCGACATTTTATTAATAATTATTATTATTATTGCGGGTCAGTCCGCGGCCTCTCTTGCGAGCTAATCCTTGCTTGCGGACAAGTAGATTAGGAAAGGGATAATTTAAAGGCCTTCATAATTTGTATAATGAGCGCGTTCATTCATTCACAAAGTGGAACACAGCTTGGCGAAGCTTTAACCCCCTCCCCCCCCCCGCTGTGGTCTTCGCTTGGGCTCCTATAAGAGGCTCGCACACTCCACGGCGTCCTCCAACCCCATCTCCCTCAGTCCCGTAAACTCGCTGCTCCGCAACACGCGGGCCCGGCACGAGACAGCCGAGCCTCCATATCCCGAACACCGCCACTCAGTGACGCGTCCCCCTCCCCCACCCCGCGTCCCCCTCCCCCACCCCGCGTCCCCCTCCCCCACCCCGCGTCCCCCTCCCCCACCCCGCGTCCCCCTCCCCCACCCCGCGTCCCCCTCCCCCACCCCGCGTCCCCCTCCCCCACCCCGCGTCCCCCTCCCCCACCCCGCGTCCCCCTCCCCCACCCCGCGTCCCCCTCCCCCACCCCGCGTCCCCCTCCCCCACCCCGCGTCCCCCTCCCCTCCCCCTCCCCCACCCCGCGTCCCCCTCCCCCACCCCGCGTCCCCCCTCCCCCCGCGTCCCTCTCCCCCCCGCGTCCCCCTCCCCCCCGCGTCCCCCTCCCCCCCGCGTCCCCCTCCCCCCGCGTCCCCCTCCCCCCGCGACCCCCTCCACCCCCGCCTCCCCCTACCCCGCGGCCACCTCCCCCCCCCCGCTCCCCCCCCCGCTCCCCCCCCCGCTCCCCCCCCCGCTCCCCCCCCCGCTCCCCCCCCGCTCCCCCCACCGCTCCCCCCCCCGCTCCCCCCCCGCTCCCCCCCCCGCTCCCCCCCCCGCTCCCCCCCCCGCTCCCCCCCCCGCTCCCCCCCCCCGCTCCCCCCCCCGCTCCCCCCCCCGCTCCCCCCCCCCGCTCCCCCCCCCCGCTCCCCCCCCCCGCTCCCCCCCCCCGCTCCCCCCCCCGCTCCCCCCCCCGCTCCCCCCCCCGCTCCCCCCCCCGCTCCCCCCCCGCTCCCCCCCCCCGCTCCCCCCCCGCTCCCCCCCCCCCCGCTCCCCCCCCCGCTCCCCCCCCCGCTCCCCCCCCCCGCTCCCCCCCCGCTCCCCCCCCGCTCCCCCCCCCCGCTCCCCCCCCCCGCTCCCCCCCCCCGCTCCCCCCCCCCGCTCCCCCCCCCCGCTCCCCCCCCGCACCCCCCCCCGCTCCCCCCCCCGCTCCCCCCCCCCCGCTCCCCCCCCCCCCGCTCCCCCCCCGCTCCCCCCCCCGCTCCGCCTCAACTGCATCGCTTCATCATCCCGCTCACTCGGCATCGCCGCCTCTATGCGGGACCCGGGGGAGCGTCCCTCCCCGCCTGCGACGAACGAATGAATGAAGGAATGAATGAAGGAATGAACGACTTTTCCCCGGGCCGGTCAGCGATCTCCCCGGTAGATGTACAACAGCGGAGAGGGCACGCAATGAAGGATTAGCGACGGGGGAGGAGGAACGACTCTGAACGACTCTGTTCGAGGAAAGACTTTTATTGCTGAGCAGTCGGACAAACACACACATACACACGCGTGCGTGATCTCTAAATGAGTTTTAGATTAAAGCAACATCTGCAGAGGTCGTGTCCAACAGGAGAAGAAACGAGTCATGGTGGAGAAGAGACCATGAAGTCACCGCGATGGAAGCGAGGGTAAGTGGAGCCTCCGGGCTGCCCGGAGCGACCCGGGGCGCGCCCAGGGCGCCCCGGGGCTGGCGGAGGACGAGGGAGGAGGGCAGGAGGGGGCGGGGGGGAGAGAGGAGTAGGGGGAGAGGGGGGAAGGAGGGCGGGAGGGCGGGAGGGCGGGGAAAGAGGGGAAGGAGGGCGGGCGGGGGGGGGGGAGGAAGGGCGGGCGGGGGGGGGGGAGGAAGGGCGGGCGGGGGGGGGGAGGAAGGGCGGGCGGGGGGGGGGAGGAAGGGCGGGCGGGGGGGGGGAGGAAGGGCGGGCGGGGGGGGAAGGAAGGGCGGGCGGGGGGGGGGAGGAAGGGCGGGCGGGGGGGGGGAGGAAGGGCGGGCGGGGGGGGGAAGGAGGGCGGGCGGAGGGGGGAGGGCGGGAGGGCGGGGGGAGGGCGGGAGGGCGGGGGGAGGGCGGGAGGGCGGGGGGAGGGCGGGGGGAGGGCGGGAGGGCGGGGGGAGGGCGGGAGGGCGGGGGAGGGGGAGGGGGGGGAAGGAGGGGGGGGGGGAAGGAGGGCGGGGGGGGGGAAGGAGGGCGGGGGGGGGAAGGAGGGCGGGGGGGAGAAGGAGGGCGGGGGGGGAGAAGGAGGGCGGGGGGGGGGAAGGAGGGCGGGGGGGGGCGGGGGGGGGAAGGAGGGCGGGGGGGGAAGGAGGGGGGGGGAAAGAGGGCGGGGGGGGGAAGGAGGGCGGGGGGGGGAAGGAGGGCGGGGGGGGGGGGAAGGAGGGCGGGGGGGGGGAAGGAGGGCGGGGGGGGGGGAAGGAGGGCGGGGGGGGGGGAAGGAGGGCGGGGGGGGGGAAGGAGGGCGGGGGGGGGGGAAGGAGGGCGGGGGGGGGGGGAAGGAGGGCGGGGGGGGGGAAGGAGGGCGGGGGGGGGGGAAGGAGGGCGGGGGGGGTGGCGGGGGGGTGGCGGGGGGGTGGCGGGGGGGGCGGGGGGTAGGGTGGCGGGGGGTGGGGTGGCGGGATGGCGAGGGGGGTGCAGCGAGTGAGGTGGGTGCATGGGGTGGGTGTGTACTGCGTGGGGATGTGTGAGATGTGTATTGAACGTCGCGTGTGGTTTTGTGCAGATCTACTGCCTGGATGTATATGGTTATGTGGTCGGGGTGTGTCTGGCTGTGTGTGTGTAGTTGTGTATATGGAGTCGTGTGCAGGTGTGTGTAGGTGTGTGTAGGTGTGTGTGTGTCGGTGTGAGCGTGTGTAGGTGTGTGTGTGAGTGTAGGTGTGTGTGTGTAGGTGTGTGTAGGTGTGTAGGGGTGTGTGTGTAGGGGTGTGTGTGTAGGTGTGTGTGTGTAGGTGTGTGTGAGTGTAGGTGTGTGTGAGTGTAGGTGTGTGTGTAGGTGTGTGTAGGTGTGTGTAGGGGGTGTGTGTGTGTGTAGGTGTGTGTGAGTGTAGGTGTGTGTGAGTTTAGGTGTGTGTGTAGATGTGTGTGTGTGAGTGTAGGTGTGTAAGTGTGTGTAGGGGTGTGTGTGTAGGGGTGTGTAGGTGTGTAGGTGTGTGTGAGTGTAGGTGTGTGTGTAGGTGTGTGCGTGTGTAGGTGTGTGTGAGTGTAGGTGTGTGTGTATATGTGTGTGTGTGCGAGTGGGGAGCGGTAGTGTAGCGGTTAGCGCGCTGCGCTATGAACCTGGCGACCCGGGTTCGATTCCCGCTCACGGCTAACACCAGTGACGATTATCTGAACCGGTCCTGGGCCCCCCCTAGGTCGACTCAGCCTTAAATGAGTACCTGGTGCGGTGTGTAAACATCGCCACTAGGGAGACAAAGGCGGTCGGGCGTGGTGCTGGCCACCCACCCCCTCGTGTACCGTTCCGGCCTTCATAGGTGCTCGCTAACAGCACTTGCCCCTACAGTCTGTTCAGGCTATACGGGGGATCTTTGTCTTTTGTTGTGTGCGAGTGTAGGTGTGTGTGTAGGTGTGTGTGTGTAGGTGTGTGTGAGTGTAGGTGTGTGTATAGGTGTGTGTGAGTGTAGGTGTGTGTGTAGGTGTGTGTGTAGGTGTGTAAGTGTGTGTAGAGGTGTGTGTGGAGGGGTGTGTGTAGGTGTGTGTGAGTGTAGGTGTGTGTGTAGGTGTGTGTGAGTGTAGGTGTGCGTGTGTGAGTGTAGGGGTGTGTGTAGGTGTATGTGAGTGTAGGTGTGTGTGTAGGTGTGTGTGTGTGTAGGTGTGTAAGTGTGTGTAGGGGTGTGTGTGTAGGGGTGTGTGTAGGTGTGTGTGAAGGTGTGTGTGTAGCAGTGGCGGCTGGTGATATTTATTTTTGGGGGGGCACATTTTTTAAATTTTATTGAGGGGGGCAAATAAATATAAAGCAGTACCAAAAGCCATTTTGACTACTTGAATATAAATTTTGATGATCTTTATTTACATTTCAGACCAAAAGAAGTACCAAAAAGCATGTTTCCTACTTGAACATAAATGTTTCTCTTTTATATACATTTCAGACCAAAGTACCAAAAAGCATGTTTCCTACTTGAACATAAATGTTTCTCTTTTATATACATTTCAGACCAAAGTACCAAAAAGCATGTTTCCTACTTGAACATAAAAACGTTAGTTTCATGCTATTATCAATATGGCTGCGGCTACTTTCATGACGTTTGCATTTGTCAGAGAGATGTTTGAGGTCTCTTACCCCCGTCGTTGTCCACAAAACTTCAGTGCCGACACTTTGAAATAAAAGACAGGGAAAACAAAAAAGAGAATTGCTAACATCACATCCAGCCAGCCACCTCCGTTTCTCATAACAAGCGCGGGTGAAGCTTCGTGTGTAGCTTCGTCCTCTGTCACTGGCCTGCTGCTGGATTTGTAAATCGGGTTGGTCCGGTCCGAGATCCTTTATCTTTTTTATTTCTTCCAGCGAAAGCCTTGTGAAAGGGTTTTTTTTGTAAATAAATTACAGAATTTGGATGAACTGCTGCCATTGTTTACACAAAAAATTTGATCAGCCTAGCAAGTGTCAAAGTGGTGTCGCCTTCGCACTCGCAGTAGTGGCCTACAGCGTAAATTTGAATGACAGGTGACGAGAACCAATCAGATTGGATAAAATAACATGTATCCAATTCTGATTGGCCAGGGACGCAACGACTTGCGCCCCGAGGAGAATCTTTAAGAAACCAATTAGAGACCAGCTTCAGGTCACATGCTGTCCGAAAATGTAAAGTCTCACATAGACATCCATTTGTCCGGCGCCCCGCATAAAACACATTGAAAAACATAGAAAATAGTTGACCGATTAAAGCCAGTTTTTATTAAATGCTGATGCTTTTCTTACTACCAGCCGGCACATCGTATGAAAAAAATATTTTATTTATGTATTTTTATATAAATTTTGTATATGTATATTTCTGGAATATTGATGGGGGCGGCGCCCCTGCGCCCTCTATTGACGAGCCGCCACTGGTGTGTAGGTGTGTGTGTGTGCGAGTGTAGGTGTGTGTGTGTGAGTGTATGGGGTCGTGATGGATGATCATCCTGTCCGCGCCGCGCCGCTTCTCCCTCGCCCCACCGCTCCCCTCCCCGAGCCGCACAGACCCCCTCGCCAGCGCGAGGAGCGCCGTGCCCTCCTCATTCACCCATTGCCACTCTCACGGGCACAGGCAATGGGCCGCTCGTCCGGTGCGCGCTGCAGATCGATATCACGCCGCCTCTCTGATCCCTCCGCTACGCGGGAGGGGCCATTGGCCGAAACGTCGCCCGTTATATAATTTTAACGCTTTTTGGGCCCCCCCCGCGTTTGGTTGACGCATGCTGTTGGGTTGTTGTTGTTGTTGGTGGTGGTGGTGGCGGCTGCGCTGCCCCGCTGCTAAGGCGGCAGCAGCAGCAGGAGGATCAGGATCAGCAGTCCCCGGCGCTCTGGTGATGCGCGTGGCCACGCGTGGAGCCGGGGGCGGTGGAGCTCACCCGGATCACAGCGCGAATCACAGCCCGGATCACAGCCCGGCGGCGGCGGTAGCGGCGGCGGTCCGGGCAGCGCGCGGAGCAGCAGCCCCTCGCCGCCTCGCCTCCCGGCCCGCCAGCTCGGCCACGGATCCTCCTGCCTCCTCCTCCACAGCGGGCGGTGAGTGAGTTGCACCACCCATTAGGCGGCCTAATGAGATTGATCGACGCTGGCGGTATCGGGTTAAAGCGATGTTAATGACAATGGCCAACTTGCGCAGGCCACGGCATTCTCCCCCCCCCCATTCCAATCCCCCCATCCCCCCCACCCCGCCATCCCCCCCCACCCCGCCATCCCCCCCCACCCCGCCATCCCCCCCACCCCGCCATCCCCCCCACCCCACTGCTCCGTGGCTATTCCCCGCCGGGCGGATTGGATGCATGCGACGTGCTGCATATGTATTCGGCGCGTGTGTGCGTGTGTTGGTGTGTGTGTGTGTTGGTGCGTGTGTGTGTTGGTGCGCGTGTGTGTGTGTGTTGGTGTGTGTGTGTGTGTGTGTGGTGTGTGTGTTGGTGTGTGTGTGTGTTGGTGTGTGTGTGTTCGTGCGCGTGTGTGTCTGTGTGCGTGTGTGTGTTGGTGTGTGTGTGTGTTGGTGCGTGTGTGTTCGTGCGCGTGTGTGTCTGTGTGCGTGTGTGTGTTGGTGTGTGTGTGTTGGTGTGTGTGTGTTCGTGCGCGTGTGTGTCTGTGTGCGTGTGTGTGTTGGTGCGTGTGTGTGTTGGTGCGTGTGTGTTCGTGCGCGTGTGTGTCTGTGTGCGTGTGTGTGTTGGTGCGTGTGTTCGTGCGTGTGTGTGTGTGTGTTTGTGTGTTCGTGCGCGTGTGTGTCTGAGACGGTGCTTGTCGAACGCAATTGAAACGGCGAATAACTCGGATTCATGTCTCGTGGATTGTATCACGCTGCAGTGGAGTGTCTCGTGGAGTGTCTCACTCGGCAGTGGAGTGTCTCGTGGCTTGTCTCACTCGGCAGTGGAGTGTCTCGTGGAGTGTCTCACTCGGCAGTGGAGTGTCTCGTGGCTTGTCTCACTCGGCAGTGGAGTGTCTCGTGGAGTGTCTCACTCGGCAGTGGAGTGTCTCGTGGATTGTCTCACTCGGCAGTGGAGTGTCTCACTCGGCAGTGGAGTGTCTCGTGGCTTGTCTCACTCAGCAGTGGAGTGTCTCGTGGAGTGTCTCACTCGGCAGTGGAGTGTCTCGTGGCTTGTCTCACTCGGCAGTGGAGTGTCTCGTGGCTTGTCTCACTCGGCAGTGGAGTGTCTCGTGGAGTGTCTCACTCGGCAGTGGAGTGTCTCGTGGAGTGTCTCACTCGGCAGTGGAGTTTCTCGTGGAGTGTCTCACTCGGCAGTGGAGTGTCTCGTGGAGTGTCTCACTCGGCAGTGGAGTGTCTCGTGGGTTGTCTCACTCGGCAGTGGAGTGTCTTGTGGAGTGTCTCACTCGGCAGTGGAGTGTCTCGTGGAGTGTCTCACTCGGCAGTGGAGTGTCTCGTGGAGTGTCTCACTCGGCAGTGGAGTGTCTCGTGGAGTGTCTCACTCGGCAGTGGAGTGTCACGTGGAGTGTCTCACTCGGCAGTGGAGTGTCTCGTGGCTTGTCTCACTCGGCAGTGGAGTGTCTCGTGGAGTGTCTCACTCGGCAGTGGAGTGTCTCGTGGAGTGTCTCACTCGGCAGTGGAGTGTCTCACTCGGCAGTGGAGTGTCTCGTGGAGTGTCTCACTCGGCAGTGGAGTGTCTCGTGGAGTGTCTCACTCGGCAGTGGAGTGTCTCGTGGAGTGTCTCACTCGGCAGTGGAGTGTCTCGTGGCTTGTCTCACTCGGCAGTGGAGTGTCTCGTGGAGTGTCTCACTCGGCAGTGGAGTGTCTCGTGGAGTGTCTCACTCGGCAGTGGAGTGTCTCGTGGGTTGTCTCACTCGGCAGTGGAGTGTCTCGTGGAGTGTCTCACTCGGCAGTGGAGTGTCTTGTGGAGTGTCTCACTCGGCAGTGGAGTGTCTCATGGAGTGTCTCACTCTGGCAGTGGAGTGTCTCGTGGAGTGTCTCACTCGGCAGTGGAGTGTCTCGTGGAGTGTCTCACTCGGCAGTGGAGTGTCTCGTGGAGTGTCTCACTCGGCAGTGGAGTGTCTCGTGGAAGTTGAACTCCCGAGCCGGGGTCACTGGCTAGGACGCGCCCTTGTGGGGTGGATGGGGGGGCACGTCTGTGAAGGCGAAGTGAGCGGTGAATGCGCGGACTCGATTTGAAAACCGGCCTCTGCCATCTGGCTTGATTTGAGCCCCGTGTCGTGAGTGCTGTATGGAGGACGGCCAGCACTGTGCGAGTGTGTGTGAGAGTGAGAGTGTGTGAGTGTGTGTGCGAGTGTGTGAGTGTGTGTGCGAGTGTGTGTGTGTGTGAGTGTGTGTGTGATAGTGTGTGAGTGTGTGTGAGTGTATGTGAGTGTGTGTGAGAGTGTGTGAGTGTGTGTGTGAGTGTATGTGAGTGTGTGTGAGAGTGTGTGAGTGTGTGTGCGAGTGTGTGAGTGTGTGTGAGAGTGTGTGTGTGTGAGTGTGTGTGTGATAGTGTGTGAGTGTGTGTGTGAGTGTGTGTGTGAGTGTGTGTGTGTGAGAGTGTGTGAGTGTGTGTGTGAGAGTGTGTGAGTGTGTGTGCGAGTGTGTGAGTGTGTGTGCGAGTGTGTGAGTGTGTGTGTGAGTGTGTGTGAGTGTGTCTGGGGAGCGGTAGTGTAGCGGTTAGCGCGCTGCGCTATGAACCTGGCGACCCGGGTTCGATTCCCGCTCACGGCTAACACCAGTGACGATTATCTGAACCGGTCCTGGGCCTCCCCTAGGTCGACTCAGCCTTAAATGAGTACCTGGTGCGGTGTGTAAACATCGCCACTAGGGAGACAAAGGCGGTCGGGCGTGGTGCTGGCCACCCACCCCCTCGTGTACCGTTCCGGCCTTCATAGGTGCTCGCTAACAGCACTTGCCCCTACAGTCTGTTCAGGCTATACGGGGGATCTTTGTATCTTTGTGAGTGTGTGCGTACACACGGGGCAGGGCATGCCCCAAGCGCTCACATCGCCGCGTCGGCGGCCAGATGTTGTGAAGGCGGTCACTTTTGTGTCTGGCTCGCTCGCTCGCTCGCTTCCTTTTAAGGCGAAGTCCGCCTGTCGAGACGGGACGAGTCGCGAGCCACCCTCCCTGTGCGGGAAGAGAGTCGAGCCCTCCGCTCGTGGGTGCGAGAGCGAACAATCCCGCAGCGACTCTCCTGCTCCTCCTGCTCCTGCCATATCCTACATAATGCGCTCCGATCAATCCGACTCGATCGGTACCAGCCCCGGAACACCCACTGCCCCCCCCCCCTCTTGTCCCCCCCCCCCCTCCTTCGCACACCGCCCCCCCCGGGGCCAGCATACCTTGGCAAGGACACAAGCACTCCATTGTTCCCGTGCCGCCCTTTAGCGCAGCAGCAGCAGCAGCCTTGCAGACATTTTACTGCTCCGTGTCCCGCGGCTCCGAGCGAGGCGTCTGCGTGGTTTTGTTATTTTGTGATTTGTACTCAATCCCCTCTGGGTTCTCTATCCAGCCATGAAGAAGAACCCATTGCCCGAACCGTCGTCCTTTTGATTAACGCAATTATGTATATATGTTGTTGTGTGGGGCAGTGATATTGGTGAAAGTGAATGTTCGTGGTGAGACACTGCTTCGAGATGATGTGCACGAGCAGACGTCACAAAACACCACTCGTGAACAATAACAACAACATGATAGACCACGTGTCACAGGCTTCCATCTCTCTGCCATGATACAGGACGTTTCATAGCAGTGCTATTGACCAGTGTGTGTATGCAGCGATGATATATGCGGACATCCTGGAAAACCAAAGCAGGTCCATTCATCGCGTTAGTAATTATCCAGGCACGTGGCGCAGATGGAGATGCCCGGTTGTTGTATTTCACATTTCGAAGGTCGAGGAAATAGCTTCAGCAGCTGAGCTCACAGCTGTGACGTTAACATAAACCCCTCCGAACTGTGACGGCGGCCGACACATCACAGTCACGTCACAGTTCACGTCATAGTTTACGACGTCACAGTTCACGACGTCACAGTTCACGACGTCATAGTTCACACCGTCACAGTTTGCGTTCACGACACTCTGCCTCTGCTTTCGAACAGCGGTGAGTTGATCAGCAGCATTCATGCCACAGTCGTGTCGAGGTTGGTGGTGAGCCCGTGGTGACGGCTTCAGGAGTAGCCTCGTGGGGAATTTTCGGCCACGCTGCCGACGACGGATCCGAGTGGCCTGTGGTGTCGCTCGTGACGATATCCTGGGGGCTTGTCGGACAATTTATGCGACAATAGATTTCAGGAAAAATCGATTCAGTGGGTTTTACTCCTGCTGGTGGGGGGGGGGGGTACAGCTGCATCTCGCAGTCATCTCAGTCAGCCAGCCCATGGCACCTGCTGGGTCTGTCCCGTGACCTCCCGTCGGCGAACATTCGACACTCTCACGCGGTTCTCAAAGTGCACCTGGCCTGGCACAGGCGCCGTGGTGGCGTCGCCGTCACTCGGGGGCGAATGGCGGCCGCGTTGGTATACCTTGAGTTGATTCACACGCGGTGCTGATTGCCCGCTCTTCTGGGTGGAGGGGGAGGGGATGGATTGAAATGAAAAGAAGGCTGTAAATCAGAGATGCGCGCGCGTGTTGTGTGATGGATGGGGCCCGGCGGGGCGCACGGGAAGAAGGGTCACTCCGTCACGCGGAGCTGCAGACTTCTTTGACGACGCTGGCTCCTTCACAGTCGCGCGTCGGATGAACGATGGAGGAGCAGCGAAAGGGGACGCAGACACCGACCGTGCAGCTCTGCGGGTCTACACTGCATCATCATCATCAATCATCATCGTTAATGTAGCTCCACACACACGTTTGATAGTACGCTTCTTTAAGGGTGACATTGAATGTTATTTTTAAACCTTGATTACAAAGGTGCTGGCTTTATTGAAGCTGCATTTGAGGTCGCTTTGTCTCTATCGTGCATTCTGGAAGGGGTCTTGAGATGCTGGTGCATTTCTCGGTCATACAAATGTGTTTGTGGATTTGTGTATAATTGTGTGTAGGCGTATGCGTGATGCAAGCATACGTTATGCACAATTGATAAATGCACAG